TCTCCCCTCGTTCTGTTATGTGACAGTATTTAAAGTGACCCTGTCATGAGAGAACTATGGGAGCTGGTCTCTGTCCAAAAAATGCCAGTTGCCTGGCTGTGTCTGGTGTCCATACGTTTTGAGGCACAGACCTGGATCAAACATGATGTAAATGAATTCCTTTATCTATGTACTTGTTTAAGGTCAGTGACTTAGGAATTTTTAAAACCAATGCATCAGCATGACAGCCAGACAACTAGTATTTTCAGAAGGAACAGTCAGCAACAACAACCTCCATGATTCTTTCTTGACAGGTTTCTTATAATTCTGATTAACCTTCATCCAGGTAATACAGTAGAATATTGAGGCATATGGGTAACATAACACTCAGTAAGCTAATGTGAAAAAGTTACTTTAATGGCATTTGTTATTGAATTTTATGATAATGTTGAGTTCACAACAATGAAAATTTGAACTTTGGAATCATACATTTTTGCTTAAAATGAGCATAGAAGTATCACTATATAATGTACAAATCTTTGTTAAACCCCCCAGGGGGGCAAGTGCATGCAGAACTTGGTCCTTTTTTGATCTGTGCTGAAGTTGCTGAGCAGCGTGATCAGACAGCTTGCCCCCCTCTCCCCACTGCTGTTTTACCACGATGCTAGCAAGGAGAGGAATACATAATGATGGCTGATTGACAGCGCTCGTCTCTGACAACAAGTGCAGGCTGGAGACGAGTGACATCATTTCTGATATACTGTAGGAGAAAAAACATCAGAGCCTAAGCTCTCCAACAGGCTCCCCCCTCTATTGAACTACAGGCGGACCTGACGGAGAACTTCCTGACTTGGCTGCATTAAACTCTGCCCCCTAAGGGCAGAGGCAGCTCACACTGCCATACACTGCTCATACTGCCAGCACTGACTTTGGTAGCACTGTTTGCATAACTTCCTCTTCCCTGTCCTCTGTTGCCTAGACACATCTCGGTGAAGTTTTATAAAGGGCATTGCCCCAGTAGAAAAGTGGAGGAAAGCCATATTAAATGGGCACAAGAGACGGGCAGTGGCTGCCCTGCTGGTTATACCTCCCCCATAGGAAGGGCCACAAATCAGGCTTCTGCCTGCATTGGAACTTTAGCCAGAATAAAAAATGGGGCTTTTAACTCACGAGGTAACAGATCAAGAGGACCAAGTTCAACATACACTCTTGGGGGGATTTATCAATACTGGAGCAGTTGCCCATGGCAACCAATCAGCTTCTCTTTTTTATTTTCAACGCTTAACTGAACAAACTGTAGAGAGAAGCTGACTGGTTACTATGCACAGCTGTTCCAGATTTTGTCTGCTCCAGTTTTGATAAATTCCACTATCTAGGTCTTCTGGTGCTTTGATTTCTGCTTTTAATAGAAGTGATTATTTTAAATGTCTTATGTAATACATCTTTTAATATTAAAGGTTACGATTAGCAAAAAGAAATCATGGCTTCTGGAGGATCTGAGCCAGAGGATGATATGTTGTCATCTGACAGTGAAACCCTTTCGGAGGGTGCTGACCTTTCTGAAGAAGACATTTCTGAAAATTCAGATTCTGATGACTTGGATACTTCTGAATCTACTACTGAACAAAAGGAGGACGCTTCAGGTACAGATCAATCTTGTTGTAGATCTATTTACTAATATTATTCTTTGTGCATTTGTGGGCTTTACCAAACATTCTTCCATGGTGCCCTCCCATTAAAGTTTCAATGCCTTCTTCTGGTCCGTGTCTGGTGCCAGCTTTTTTTTTTAGCCTTTAACGTAAGAAAAATCAACTCCTATTCACTTATAACGTCATGTGCAATGAAACAAAAAGAAATATGCTTTTGCACATGACTGGATAATTGAGTATTAAAGTGCAACTCCAGGTTTTTTTTTGGTTATTAATCCCCCTAAGGCCTGGTTCACACCTAAAGTGTTTTTGAGCAGTTGGAAAAGTGCTTTTAAATGCCCAACACAAGAAATCCCATGATTTTCAATGGCCCCTGTTCACACCTGAACAGCAGAATGCCAGCAGGAAAACGCCACATGCCCAAAAAGGTACATGAGCTTCTTTGGGCAGTTAACAGCACGTTTGTGCCGCATAGACTTCAAAGGAAATGCCAAAAAATGCACAGCAGAAGCATGTTGCACATTTTCGTGCACGTTTTTAACACATGTTCGTCCATTGCCCGCAATGCTTCATAAACTGCCAGTCAACGTGCATCAACATGTGCACAACACGCAAATAACCGCACTCTCAACATGTGCGTACAAATGTGCAAAAATGATGCCGCCTAGGTGTGAACCCGGCCTCACTGTGCCAATAGCCCCTCTAATTGTGCCAATCTTCACTTACCCGCTCTACTCAAGGGCCGTGCTAGCTTTCTCCTCAATCCAGTGCTGGCAGTCCTCTTCAGAGCAGAATGATATGCTGTCATTCTGCCCTTTTCTTGTGAGCTCACCCTATTGTTTACATGCCCCCCAGGGGGTGCATTATTATGCAGGCTGGTCTCACGGTACTCCAGGACTGAGCAGAATGACCAGAAGGAGAAGAGCCAGAGATGATGTTCAAGACATAAAGAAAATGGGATGGAGGCTTCAGGGGTTGGTGCGAGTCAGGTGGCAGGAGGGGAGGGAAATCCTAGTGTTCTGCTATAACACGATTTATTGTATGAAGATTCTTGACTTTATTAGTCAATCCGCCTCCAAGTAGCCGCCTCCATGTAGCCATTCTCAGAGCTTATCCACTCACTAATGTATATTATGTGTTTCTCAGTCAGGAACCAGCGTCTTTAGTTATATAAAACACTTATCTCAGAGATGAGTCCTTAGCCAGTTTGTGGGATGTGAAAGTAAAGTTGGGCACCAGTCACTTTAAGGATTTTCTAATACTTTATTTCATAAGCGACAAAAATGGGAGAGAGAGTAATGGGCATCTAGGACATTACAGAACTCCAGACTCGCCAACCACTTCCCAGCTTCACAGTGCAGAGGGCCTTTAAACTGATTGCAGCATCACTGTGTAGTGTAGAACTTTAGCTAGCTAGCAGATCTAGCATAGAATTCCTTAGATGAGACAGCAGACTTCCAGGTCCATAAGATACATGCCGATCCTGACTTCTCCAGCAGATGAAGTTGGTCCCTGGTTCTCCATCCCAGGAACAGATTCAGACCCTGACTGGGTCCATACCTAGGGTTGCCACCCTTCCAGGACTCACCCAGACAGTTTGTTTTTTGAGTCTTGTGTCCAGCTAACACCAGGACACAAGACAAGCAAGTGTGCGGGACCTCTGGCAGCCGCATCTGCCTTGCGCCTGTAAACAGGCACAGGCCGACCCGCACATCTCCTCCTCTGGCTCCTTCCTGACAGCACGCTGCCCTCTTCCGGACCCCTGGTGAGACCCCTGCACTTCCCGCGTAGCCCACCTGAGAGCCCGCGTACCCTTTTGAGAGTCTGCATAGCCCACCTGAGACTACGCACAGTCCACCTGAGAGCCCACCTAGCCCTGGTGAGATCATGCACAGGCCACCTGAGACCCTGGCGACATCAGGGCCCCACCCTGGAACAATACAGAGTATGTAGCTTCATATTATTTTGCATTGCTGTATCATGTAGTGCTGGGATTTGGAGTAATCTATAACCTCTCCTTACTCCCTCCCCTGGCTGTCTCTTCTTGCTCTTTCTCCTGGCTGCCTCCCCTCACTCTCTCCTCCTATATTATAAAAAAACAATTGTTGCACACAGGTCTAGAGTGTTTGGGTTTCACTTGAAGAAAAGGTGGCAACCCTATCCATACCTGACCACCTGCAGACTACAGGCCTGGTCAAACTTCACGCACCCTCCCCCTAGCCAGGAGGCTGGCATGGTCAGCCTCAAATATTTATGCACCCCCTAGCATGCACCACTGGCCATGAACCGCCTAATGATTGGCTAGGGAGACACATATATTCATAACACCACATTATTGGATGCTCTCCTCTGTGCATGGTTACACCCAGCAGCAGGCAGATGCTTATGGAAAACCAAATTAACACTGGCTATCAAATCAGCTAGACTGGATGCAGTCCAGCAGAACTAAATTTAAGGAGTCACCCCACTTAGGGCAAGGTGGCTGTATGTATGTATGTATGTTAAATAATTTAATACAAGAATTCTCAACACTCAGTCTAGCAAGTCAGCACAGATAATTATAAACGGGTTGTAACATTTAGATTTAAAAACAGAGGGTTTTTGTTGCATAAATATGCAACTACATGTGAGGCCAAACTGCTGCACCAGGGTACCTCTGCAAAGTGTTGTCTTCCGATGGCTTGGAAGAGTCTGGACTTTTGGCATGCAGAAAAAAAAAATGTTACTGATTTTGTATATCAATGCATAGATATACAAATCAGTTACAGCGCCCCCTGCCGCAAGCACTTCATCTCTCCCCTCTCGGGCGCTGCAGCGGCCAAGAGGGGAGAGATTAAGTGGTTGCAGGGGGCATTTGCAAAGGTATCAGAGATGCCCGGGGGGCAATTGCCACCATGCCCCCTTGTCCAGTCCGCCTCTGAGTCAGACTAATCCAGCACTTTATTAATCTGAGTGCCCCACTCAATATGGCCACAAGCGACGGGCAGACTGAGTGGGGCAACTCCGATTAATAACGTCTGAAAGATGTGGACTGGGAGGGGGGCCTCTTTAAGACTGCTCAGAGAGAGAGAGATCAAAACAAATGTAAGTCCCTGTACTTTCTTTGTGACCTGCACTGCGTTACATGCTGACCTGTGTACTGACCTCTGTACTGTGCGTCACACCCTTGACTACAAGTGCGGTGCATAGACAGCTGTCTGGGGGTGCCCGCGGGGGGGCGGGGGGGATTGGGTGCAGGGTGCAAAAATGCACCTTTGCCTGTGTAAGGCAAAAGTCCTTGCACCGGCCCTGCTCACAATATATCTGCTCCTAAATTATTGACTCATTTGTGTCTTTGTTCTGTTTTCTAATAATTATACAAATCACACAGGAATGAAGAAGCCTATTACCTTTTCTGATGTAGTAGTCAAGAATCTCACACAACAACTCTTAAAGTCAACGTAAGTATATCCTGGTTGATCAAACTAATTAGGGAAGAGGTTCGGGTTTGCCATTACCATGGGTGAGAGGTGAATTCTGTGGGTTTGAGATTTATAGTGTCATTGATTTGAAAGCTGTTGCAGGAAAAGCTGACGAATGGTATAAGGAGAGATTCGGGTTAGTTTACTTTAATTCTAAGAGCCAGCTCTTTGGGACATCAATACATTTGCTGCCTTTCTTTGTTCTTTTTATTAGGATGTTGATTGAGGTCACCAATCCCTTTTTAGCTGCTATCCCATCCATAGATCCATA